ACTGGTCGAGACTCGTCCCCGTACCGTACGGGGAGCCGGCATAAGTACCGGTGACACGTACGGTACCAGGGGCATTTCTGCAAAGGCCCCGAGGGCAGAACTGAAAAATGCAGTATTTGAAAGTGGCGCCTGAATTGCAGCATGGTGCCAGTTGTCCAAAATCCTACGGTACCAAAGGAGGGGTTTGGAAAAAGGGTGCCAGGCCGAAAACGGGATGCAGCTGAAACAGCAAAAGATAGACCAGGGATCGAGCCCTGGCGAAGTCCGTAACAGGGGGGTCCCGCCCCGATTTGTGCGGTTCCAAACCGATGCGCTCGACACCGGTTGCTTGGGAGGCCGAGTGGCCTAGAAGTCACCGCCCAGGAGGCAAGCAGGCCGCTATATCAAGAGACCGAGGGAAGAGCTCGGCCTCATTCTTCAGTGTGCAAGTTTGGCGACACGCTGCTGGAGCGCTGGCTGGAGTAGCGCTGGGTACTACAGCGCTGCTGGGAGGAAGAAGCCGGAAGCTTCCACCTTGGCTATGGTGGAGGAGGAGGAGCGAGAAGGGGACCAAGGAGGAGAGTGGCGAGGTACCCAGCTGGCTATGGTGGACACTATCTTCATCACCTTGTCAGGCACTGCATCTGGAAGGCCCCAGTTGGGGTAGTGCCGCATCAAGGAAGCTCGAGACAGAGTCAGGCATGGCGGTTGAGTGGGCAGCGGCATAGCTGCCTGGTGTTGACCTCGGGACAGAAGGGCGGTGACATAGCTGCTTTGGGTTGTCCTTTGGACAGGAGGGTAGAGCCCTCAGTGGTCCGCCATAGCCTCGACCTGCATGTAGAGGAAAAGGAAGGGTGGCCATGGCTATGGTGGACCTCATGTTGTCCCTGCAGTAGAAGTGGGATTCGGACATTGATTCTGGTTCGGCCATTCAACATTATTATTGTTATTTTTTGTTTGGACATTGATTCTGGTTCAGCCATTCAACATTGTTATTGTTATTTCTTGTTTGAATAAGAGGGGAGGAGATAAGGAGGAGGAGATTGGTTGGTGAAGAAGAAGAGCCTTGTCATTGGCCTATGCTGGAGTACATCATCTTCTTCTTCTTTCTTCTTCTTCTTCTTCTTCCTTCCCTCTCTCTCCTCTCAAGTTCATTCATTTCTTTTTGCAATTGGACGGCATTGTACTTTCTGATGAATGTATACTTCGAAATTGGCCAGGATCGTTACACAGGTTTCTCAAGATCGCAGCTATGACTGCAAACAACAATGAAAGAAGGTAAGTTTCTCTCTCTCCTCTGTCACTCTCTCTCGCTCTCTCTCTCAACTACCACTAACAGTGCCCAGGTCCTGTGATCACGCTCTGAATGTCCCCGCTGCTCTGAATGTCGTCGTTGCTTTTGTCTCTCCCTCCCTGTGCAAGCTCCTAGCTATGGCGCCCAGCGCCACCAACTAGACTGCCGCACCTGGCTCTGTTCACTCCAAGATCTTGACACTCAGCAACACAGCAGCCCTTGCGCATCTGCCAGAGGATGTTCCTGACATTGGCCTCCCTTTTGTGCCTGTGCCTCTGCCTCCAACGTGATTGTGAACTCTTCCTTCCAGGCCATGCTGCAGCAGACAGAGATTCAGTGACCTACCTAGTGAAGGGGACTTATGGTACACGGGACATGAAAACTTGGGACAGGACACTGATACACATGAAATACTTTCGTTGAAACTCAAATGAGTGGGACTGGATATCTTGAAGAACAAGTTCACAACATACGTCAATGATTAAGCCCTCAGGATGCTGGGAACAATAGTAACCATGTCCTCTGTTCTATACGTGACATCTGGGACGATGTTTGTTTGTCATGATTGTTTGGGCCTTGTTCTGTGCAGCTTGCCGCTTGTAACTCACTCAGGGCGTTAATCGATGACTGCCACTTCTATGAGGAGGAGTTTGTTGAGTATTTGTCTCCTTGCCTCCAATTGCTTTTCCAGTTCATGCAGAGTGCTTCAGAGTTTGACTCACAGGTGAAAATCTTTCCAGTCTCTGGTCTGCACCTCTGCTGCAATAGCTAGCTGTGCCCGCAAGCGAGGTGTCATTGTTAAGTGTGCCAGCTGATATGGGCCTGCTCTGCTTGTGAACCGCGACTCTTGCTTGTCCAGCAAAATGTTGTTCCTTGGATTTGAGGTCTTTCTGGCTAGAGGGAGAAGTTTGCAACTAATTGGAATGGACCCACATGATGGTCTCTGCTCATTCTCCTCCATTCGTTTTCCTGAGAAACATGGTTATGGCGAGAAGGTTCCCTGTCACTCGACCATCATACCAAGTTATGTTTGTCCACGGTATCAGGCATGAAAGCATTTTGTATTTTATTTGAAATTTATCACCCCTTTGTTGTTGGTTGCTTATGTCATTGCATTATCTCAATTTGGTCTCTGCTCTGGATTCCTATAGCCTTACATCTTCCATTGTGCATACTGTTTTGATGGGTCAGAGCGGCGCGGGTGGAACATGTTGGTTGGAAGGTCCATCATCCCTTCGCAATCCAGCACAGGGAAGTAGAGGTACTCTGGATGTGTTATTCTCATGGCTTGGTAGTGCTCTTAAACGGGCCTTTACGAATTAGACCCCAGATGAATGACCCAACAGCGAGGGGTCCTGTCGGCCAAAACTTGAAATCACGAGCAGCAACTCAAAAGACAAGTTCCCTGAGGCATGTGTCGCATCCAGAATAAGATGGGAAGTCGTTTTGAAAAGTCACAAACAAGTCCTGAACGAACAGGTATCGGACACAGTTCTCAAGACTGAGTTAGGGTCATGTCTCCCAGATGAAAAGTCATGTCTGTTCATCAACGAGTCAAAGGCCACAGTCCCAGTCCAGTCATAATCCCACGAGGCCACGCCAGACCAGTCCAGCACTATAAAGGACTGGCCAGCCTCCCATTTGGCAGATGCTCACTTGAGAATGAGAGTGTGGAAGTGTCGTGGCACTTGTGCGCTAGATGTGTGTGAGCTGCGCTAGGCTGAAGAGCAGCGCCAAGGAGAAGGAAGAGAGAGTGCTGGCTAGAGCGAAGGCAGCCATAGCTGCGCCAGCAGTAGTTAGTACGTTTGTAGAGTTAGTCAGTAGGAGTCACCAGTGAGAAGTATTCAGAGTAGATCCACGTGTGATAGGGAGTGTGCATGCATGATGAGTGAGGGTAGACCAGGACTGTAGACATAGAGGGAGAGAGAGAAGAAAGCAGACGAGAGAGGGGAAGTGTGAGTTACGGTAACACTTACCTGTTGAGCGCTGTTGTTGGCAATTGGCAGGTGGCGCTGATGAGCGCCAGGTTTGGAATTCATGTTGATTGGAGAAGACTTGTAACTCTGTTTGGCGCTGTACATTTGGACTCACGATGTACCCTCTCTAATCTGGTTTGATTAATTGAGTTGAGCTCCTGGTTCTCATTCATCTTCTATTGGGTTTTGTGTGAGACATCGCAATTTGGGAAATCTGTGTGAATGCATGTGATCTGAAGCACTCCAGCAAGTGTTGAACAGTCGGGTTCCTTGCAAATTTGGTATCAGAGCAGAACTTGTTACTATCACTGGTTGCGCTGCATGATCAAGGCCGGCGAGAAGGAGAATGTGAGGAACAAGCCCTCAAGGGGCCCTATCAGACATCACATTGTTCTGGGCTAAGGCCCCCAGCAACCCAAAGTGCCCGCCCTAAGTGAAGGTGGGCCTGAATATTCGTCAGAGGCAAAATTCGACATTTCCATATGTGGGTATTCAGGCTCTCGCAGCACGCCAGTTGTTCGGGTAGACGCGTGAGCCTCACATTTCTGCGTCATACAGTTGGCCCAGGCCTTTTACAGTTGCGCCTGGGCACACATACACAAAGCAGGGCCGATACATTGGGAAGCAGGCCTTCGGCCTTGGCAATGCGCCGGGTACACTCCAACACGCCATGAAGGAAGATCGATGGATTTCAAGAGAGGAACTTGTCAAGACAACTCCTCAGATCGTGGCAGATTATGAGAAGAAACTGAAGGGGAAAGGCACCAGCATGAAGCATCTCAGCGGACTTTCGAAGCTTAAGGGGGATGGAATGTGAGGAACAAGCCCTCAAGGGGCCCTATCAGACATCACATTGTTCTGGGCTAAGGCCCCCAGCAAGCCAAAGTGCCTGCCCTAAGTGAAGGCGATATTCATCAGAGGCAAAATTCGACATTTCCAAATGTGGGTATTCAGGCTCTCGCAGCATGCCAGTTGGTTGGGTAGACGCTTGAGCCTCACATTTCTGCGTCATACAGTTGGCCCAGGCCTTTTACAGTTGCGCCTGGGCACACACACACAAAGCAGGGCCGGTACATTGGGAAGCAGGCCTTCGGCCTTGGCAAAAGCAGAAGTGCCGACGCACCTGCCTGGGAGCCCTGCACAGATGCAGCAAACAGCCCAAGTCAGGAGACTCAGTTACTTAAAGGGCCCAGGCCCTCAACTGTAGTCTTGGGCCTGGGCGCAGGGTCTGGGACCCAACCGGAAGCTACTGGGAGCTTCCAGCCAGGCCACACGCAGCATCCAGGAGGCTGCCACTTCCACAGAAGGGACGAGGCAGCCCAGGCCAGGCATCCTGGCCAGTGCTGGTAATGCAGAAGTGCTGCTGCGCTGCTGCCAAGGGCGCTGACGGGGTGCGAGAGGTGTAGTGGGGCACTGCAGGGCAGCAGGGCGCAGGCAGCCATAGCCGGGCTGCTGAGCGCGAGGGGGTACAGCGGATGGTCAGGTGGTCTTCAGGGAAGGAGGCGCTGTGTGGGGTAATCAAGGTCTGATTGAGGGTGACGAGATACGTACCTGGTACATGAAGAGAGGTCGGCGATGGTGTTGGCAGTCATGTACATTGGTCTTCGTGAGTCGAAGTGATCCTGTTGCGTGAACCAGCTGTAGGTAGGATAGGCGGGTAGAGTAGGCTGGGAGCTGAGCACCAGACAGAGCAAAGCGACTTTGGATACTGTGTTGGTGTGGCCTACGGGCTTGAACATTGGCTCATTACTTCATTGTATTGCTCTAAATGGATGGTTTTCTCGGTGCATTTGTACTCTCTGCTTGGGACACGACTACTTGGACAGTTGTGTGATTTCGCAATTTGGTTTTATGTATATCGCTCACACTCATATTCCTTGCAAGAAGGATAAGCTGGCTTGAGTATAGCTGGTGAAGAGATGAAGTAGGAGAAGAGGTGTTGGATTGGGATAGAGGGGGAAGTTTGCCTAAGAAGAAGGGGCTAGTGAGGAGAAGACCTACCTGCGATTGGAGCGATTCGAGCGTACGTGGAGTCTTCATCAACGGCTACAAAGAAGAGAAGAACCTCCTTCCCCACTTACCTCGATTGATTGCAAATTTGTGTGTTGTGTGTCTTTCCCGCCCTCTTTTCTGGTGGTCGCTGCTGCTGTCTGGTCAAACACCTTTGGTCTGGTCTGATCTATAGGTCAGGGCTGTAGAGTCTGGGTCGGGTCAGGACAGAGAGAGTCAACACCTGGTCCCATCGCCTTGACATCTGGTCGGACAAGAAGTGGTAAGAGATAGGATTGAACTGGGAGTGGCGGCACTCTACCACGACAGATTACAAGCAAGTCATAAGTATAATGGATC